GCAAGAGAGCAATCTCACCACAACTGTTCCTTGTAAACAAATATAAGAATTACGAGATATAGCTAAACACTAAATCAACACCATGCAAATATAATACTGTACAATTGATTTGTATATATGCATGATGTTAGTGGGTCAGTAAAATTGCAGAATATGACTAATTGTACTGAAATTGCTTCTCAATTCAAAGCTAAATTCTAGTTATCCTGACAATGATACCTGAGCCTACATTATCAATGTGAACAGTCGATTGTAGATCGTAGAAATTGTATGGATAAGGTATATCATTACTTGTATTTACAACTGGAATGAGGGCATTACCCAATGTGGTCTTATTCATGTTTGATTTCACCTTAACCCCATATGCATTACATAGAATGACCAATTGAGCCCTTGTGTAATTCTTAATGAAAGCTGCATTACCATACTGTTTATTGTAAGCAGAAATACGATGGTGACTTGAAACCTGTTGAGAAAAATCAAGTATTAAGTAACTGACAACTAGATACGTGCAGGTGGAGCCAAGTAGGGTATGGTTTTCAGCAATTTTACTAATGGAAAAGAGTAAGCTTAAAAACAAAGCTATTGTATTTTTGAAAGTATCGGTACTACGGGTTTAAAATATACAATAAGAACTTTCATCCCAGAAATAAAATCATTTATTGATTGATACCTTTTTCTCAGTCACGTCGTCAGTTATCTCCTTTAAAGATAATAAAGACCTTTTCTCCTCCAGCGCCGTCTTCCTTTCCAACACTTTTTTTCGGTGTTCTTGTGTTCTCTTTAATCTATGTGTTCGTTACAGATCAATAAGCTGAAGTACTACTAAACAATTTTGTAAAAATATTTTGTAAAGGTATTAAAAATATATTTTAAAAAGACATGATACTCATCCAAAAAAGATACAAAAACCATCAAAGTGCTAATATTTCTATAATTGTCGAGAGGGCCTAGAGCCTAATGGAATGTATATACTCCCATAACCACTTTCGGGATTAACAATATCTGTTTTCGAACATGATGACGTTTGTTTACCTGTGTGCCAGCCGAAAATCCCTCATGTAATGGCATGAGCCCGCCAAAAAAATCTCTCCGTTACAGATTTGTACAACGCCTTTACAAGGTCCTGCATGAGGAAGGTAAAACAAAGCTTAATTTGTCATGTACTTTTTATTCAACCGAACTTCTTAAAATAAGCAAGTAATATAAGTTAACATGAAGCTAAGTCATAGCAAGAATGAACGTGTATATGGAATTTGGGCTGTACGAAACTTACTTTGCTCGAACCTGTAATTATTATTTTTTTGTTTACTGTTAATTATATCACTAAAAATAATAGTTAGTATTTCAACAACAAGCTTATATCATCTTACCACATTGTACCAGGACTACCAGGAAGAGTCAAAGACATTTTCATTATTATCATCAAATAGTAAACCAGCTATCAGTACTATTTTGAATAATTTCAGTTATTAATATCTTACCTTTTCTGCAGCCTCTGGAAACATAGCTGACCAATTTTTCATTAGAACTTCATTTTCATGTAC